AATTACTGGTTACCTAGTAACCATTATAATAATAAGTCTAATAACACTGACCTTTGGATCAGGAAACTTCAACAAAGACCAGAGCAACCTTAATCCGTCTGTATGAAGAATAGTGCTACAAGGAGAGATTGACATGTGTGATAAGGAAGGCGAAAAGGCAAAATCACTTCAGTTTGGTACACAATTAACAGTTTCAACTTTGACATCGTACATGGTATTTTAAATGGCGCAGAGCTAAACTAATATTATTTAAGTCGGACAATTGAAAAGGGATTTTTTTAAAAAAATGATCAAGGAAAAAGAAGCACATTTTTGTCACGGTAGTTTTTTGAAGTGCAAAATCACATTTCGAAGGAAATCTAGAAATACTGGTTAAGAGGAAGAGGAAATACTGAATTTTTCAAAATGCCGTGCCATGACGTAACACCGTTGGCAAGATTGCTTATAACGCATTCCAAGAAGATATTGGTACCAACCCCCTGCACGAGCCCTCCTTGGCACAGACCGCGAGGAGCCTAGTCGCGTTGACAAGCACAGCACTTTCCGTGATGCTCAGCGCGCGCACTACAATAGGAATCACTCTGTCATCCTTAAGAGTCAAAAGGGTTCTTTTACTGTATGCAAACTCGTGAATAGCACCAAGAGTATTGGCTAGAACCTGGAAAGAAACAATAAGATCAGCCTCGCTTGATCAAGCAACTCAAAGTAGTCTGTCAGTGACTCTGCTCTCAAATGTTGTACTGTCACAAAAAAAAAATAAAAATAAAAATAAAAAACACACTGGAAATTTAAAACATTTGAGAAATGTGGAAGACACTAGCCTGCACTAGTACTTGCCCTTTTTTAAGCATTCTCCTTTTCTGAAATTACCGTCCTTTTTTACGTCAGCATGGTCAAGGTTTGTGTATTTGCCAAGTAATAAATGTTAGCGAACATCATGTGTGATATATACCTCGTTTGACTGTTCTGGGTTCTTCAATAGTAAGATCAAAGCTTTAACTGCACCAAACTGCTCAAGCCTGAGACGCAAAAAAAATAAATCCATCTTTAAAAAGGAGTTATCTATATCGGCAACGGATCGAACACGAAGATAAGCTTACTAAGATATAACATATACATTAGGGTATCAGAGACGCTTGATACTGGGTCTTGCTGCTGTCGAGTAAACAATTTTAGTTTAATTTTATAAGTTCAGATGCCCTGTGAAACGTAAAACTGCTTTCTCTACATTCTAACCTTGGAATATGGAGGCGCGGTGAACTCATGGTTAGGGTGCTAGACCGGTTTCGAGCCCTAACCGGGATCATTGCGTTGTATTCTTGGGCAGGACACTAACCCTCACACTGCCTCTCTCCACCCATGTGTATAAATGGGTACCGGCGAATTTAATGCTGGGGGTAGCCCTGCAATGGACAAGCACCCCATCCAGGGGGAGTAGAAATGCTCCTAGTCGCTTCATGCTACAGACACCACTACAATCTCCGGCAGTGTGGGCCTTGGCCTGATGTAGACTTTACCTACCTTCTTACGTTGTTTTTGTTTAAGGCGCATTTCCATAAAGCACCAACTGTGGCCGCTAGGAGTTGGTTGTCCTCTGAGGACCTGGACGTCAGCATTTGAACAAGTAGTTCCAGGCCACCGAAGCGGAAAATCAATTCACGTGTAGAGTCATCCTCAGCACACTGTATGGCGGGAAAATAACAAGAAAATCAAGTTACTAACTAGTTTGTCAGATTTATGATGGGAGTAGTAAGGAGACGAGAACAGAATAACTGAAACAACGCAAGGCAACAAGTTAAACTATAGTCATAGTGACGACTGAAATAGTTGATGATCTCTTCAGTTTTTCCCAGCCGTTGTCTTTCCATAGCATATCGAGTTGAAGTCAAAAATTTAGGTTACGTAAGTTTCTCAATCCCTTCTCTAAGTCGTAATTTCGTTCATATTGAGAAAGGGTGGCTGAGTTTCAACTACCTTTCAGTCGATGGTTATAAGATTAAGATTTATTAAGAGAATCATAATCGTAGGACAAACCTTGAACAGAGCATTCGCACACTGTGTCTTGAGGGCCACATCTCCTCTCTTCAGGTGCTTGACAATTCCCTCCACCATCCCCTCCCTTCGGATATCCTCACGAAACGCGGGCTGTGAAATATAACATAGGAGCTAATGCTTAAATGCTCTATCGTGAAGATTACTGCTAAAGGGTCAGTATCGTGAAAAGCACTGTAGAGAAACTTTGTACTTCAAGTCCTGCGATCTTTCTATTATTGACCATGTTTTCAATTTAAAAAAGTTTATATTTTCCCTGATACAATAGTCAACGAGTGTACTGCTACCATCTGAGTCTTCATACCTCGCTCGCGCATTCCTGAATAATTCCCATGGCGGGTAATATGACGTCATCCCTTCCCCTGACCAATAAGGAAGCGAGTATTGGCACAGCACCAGCCGCGCGTATGGCCTGGATGTTCTTTTGGTTCTTACTGCAACTCCATAATGCCTTGCAAGCATTGCAAGTAAGCTGGAAGTCTTCTTCATCTTTGGGTGGAGGTCTGCCGCGTCTTTTGTTCTCGGGTTGAATAATGTTTACCTGAAAGAAGTATAAGCTACAGTTTAGTTCCGTTAATAATGAGCTCTGCCAGCTGTCTCCATAAAGCGCAGAAAAACATCAGAACTCGATCGAAAACTGATTAATAGCAAGTTGTATTCGTGAGACAAACATGACCGACGACATTACTACCAAAGTTGTTGAGAAATACCGGAAGTATGAACAGGACATCATTCTCGATATTAGACAGGAACTAGCTTGAAATTGAGGCTCGTGGGAGGGGATATCATTAAAAAGAGATTACTGTCATTTGCCTTTGAAAAGACGCCCTGCATAAGCCTCAGTAGCGAGCTAGTTTCAGTCCAACCGACCGAGAACACGAAACTGGACTACTGAAAAAAAAAGACGTTTTTGAACGTTCCGTCCGTTACGAGCTGTTACGTGTTTTAATAGTGAGATTCGTGGAGAACGAGAAGCTACCTCTCAGCATTTCGACCTAAAAAAGAAAGCTAAACCGTTATTCTTCAACAAAGTTTCTCACCAAATGTTTGATCCCTCCACCTCGTCTGAAAGAACTGTAAGCCAGGCGGAATGTCACCAGGTGACTGAGAGTCTCCGCCGCGAGGGACTGAACCTCCTTCATTTTGTGTTGAAGGCACTCGATAAGTTGCTGAATACCTGTAACAGTAGAATGTCAATGCATAAACACATGCATTTCTTGTACTTTGCTCACGGATTTATGAATCATTTAGCCTCCAGTCTCTGAAAAAAGCAAATGATAAATACAACGTTTTTGTCAGACGTGCTCGCTTACCTCCCAGACGATAAATCTCCGTATTTATCCTTTTTGTGTTCGTTATTACCCTCAGAATTTTAAGGGAACCAACCTAAAATTCAAAACCATTCAAAACGTAACGTTAAAATATACAATAACAGGTAACGAAAAACTCTCGATAACTGGCCCACAGGGTTTTTTTTAAAATTAAGGAAAATTTAAATAAAAAAATCTTACCACACAAGGCCAGTTATCTGTTTTGAGGATGTTAAGGAGAATGCCAATTCCACCCAGCTCCAGAATCGCCAGCTGACTCGACTCTTGCTCTATGCTGACGTCACGGAGAGCACACAGCGCTATAACTGTAGCAGTAGGGTTCCCCACCTGGAAAAAAACACACATCAGGTCAGCATGATTTGTAAAGCTTAACACACTCATGACATTACAAGAAACCAAACAACAGAGGCAGAAATCATTGCTAGATGACAGAAAAGTCAACAATTGTAGAAGAGTACTAAACAAATGGCAGGAATCCACTGGGAAGTAAAGATGAATAAAGATGGCTAGGATGGAAATGGATTGCAATTTGAACAAACCTGAAAACGGAGGCAGAAATCATAGCTAGATAACAGAAAACCCAACAATAATGACTTGATTTTGTAAAACAGCACTGGACAAATGGCAAGAACACATTAGGAAGAGAGGATGAATAACGATGACGAGGATTGAAATAGATTATAATATAGAAAATGTTCAAAATGCAAAGTTTTCCTCTCGTGAGCGTTTATCTTGTAGTACTCTCACCTTTAGAAATTTGATCAGTTTGTGAATGTCCCAATACTCAGATGTCAGCTCAGGTTTAACCTTCAAAATCAAAACCAAGATGGCGAAAAGTTTTAATGAAATTACAATTAACAATACTACATTTGCAGCTGACTCACATATGGCCAGTAAAACCAGTAGCCCATGTTGATGGGCTCCTGGTAAAACACATTTTCTAACCCTTTCAAACAAGTCAAATAGTAACAACTTAAACTGAATATTCGTTGGGTCTGAAACTGTTTGCCCTGAAATCAAAACAGTAGAGAACTTAAGCAAACCACGAGTACAACGGCAACGAGAACGCCACCAAACAAAAGGTTTAATGAGGAGAACAATGGCTATGCCGTCCTCTGCAAAACAACAACGTGAAAAGACTAAGTTCTGCGTATTTTGAAGAACGCTAACGACGGCGGCTAATTTTTCGCTTATTTATTTGGAATTTGACGCTAGCATCACATATTTAGCTTGAGCAAGTTCTGAGACCAATAGACGCTCTGAACAGATGTAGAGTATTGCGAAATTCAAGTTCGAAGGTAAAATATAAATTGATTTCTACTAGACGTTGTCCACGAGGTCGCGGTCGCCATTGCCTAAGTTCTCTACTAGTGTCAAGAAGACATTTTGTTGATCTGCCACCAAACTCTCTTAATTTACAGCAGAAGAAATGTGTGATAATCACTTAGGAGAATTATTTAGAGCTTAACCCTGAGGATTTTGAAAGTAAACTTATGTACCTTCCTCGTCAAATCCTCGTCGTCTTCACTGTCACAGCTGCTTGACGACGATTCACTTTGATGCTTGTCAGCGGCATTCTTGTTTGAGGCTCTAAGCTGGGCTTCTTTTGATTTGCTCCTGAAGCAGGTTTGTATAAAAACAGTCATACGCTAATAGTGTAAAATACCCCCACCCCCNTCTAAGGCCCCGACCACATCAATGCATTTTCGTTTGAAAACGCATACTTTTGATGCATTTTCGCCTATTGTCCACTCTAAAACGACTGAAAACGATTATGAAAACGGAGGCTTTCGAAAACGGTTTCGAAAGTCGAAAGTCGAAAGCGAACGCTTCGTTTTGAAAACTCTCCGTCAGTTGAAAACGGACGCTTTTGAAAACGGTGCCGAAAAATGAGTCATATACTGTCGCTCCCATCAGTGTGGACAGGTGAAAACAAAACGCTAGTGTGGGCGAAAATCTTTTGCTTCGTTTTGGTTGAGAAGAAAACGGAGACTTTCAAAAACGCATTGGTGTGATTGGGACCTAAAGCTCGACATTCGTAGGACACTTTAAAACTGCTTCACCTCCGATTGTCGTCAAACAAATTCATCTGGTTTGTTTTCCACAGTGTCTTGTACGTTTTTTCCTTTGTCGGTTTGTTGTATTGTCCTCCATTCTTTGTGGGCGACTGATCACGTGCGGCGGGGATTTTCTTCCGGTCTTGTCTTTTAGCACTGGCTACGTCCGCCTTGCCAGACCGTGCGGAGGCCTGGGGAGTGGTCTTTGCGGCTACACTTTTCTGTTGTGAAGCTCTAAAAGCAACAAAGGAAAAACATAACCGTGATAGATGCCTGAATTCTTTTCAAACCTTCAACACAAAGTCGGCTATGCATGCCAGAACTATACAAATGTTGATCATTACCGGCAGTCTTACCGAAGGGAGTATACCGAATGGTTCTCTACAGTAACTGATCCTTGGGTTTTAAGTTGATATCTCTTTCAGTGCTTCAAATTCTAATTGTTTGGGTGTCACCACGTTTACGTTATTATTTAAGTGCCAAATGTATTTAGTGCTAATTGGGGACACTGTAAATTAATAAACAAATATTGCAAATAGAACATAAACTGTTAAGAATCCCAACTGGTGGGAGGCTGACCAGTTGGTCAGGGGTCAAGGAGTTGAACTCGGGACTACCGAGAACAAATCCAGCTGGAGGGAGAGAGGAGAATTTGAACCAGGGACCTCCGGATTTCAAATCCAGCGCTCCAATCGGCCACACCGCCTCCACAGAGTTTACAGGAGATTTCTCGTTCAATGGAACTGTATTCATCTGGAATATGAATTATAAACGATTAGAGGTGATTTTATATCTCTAGATTCACGCAATGCTGTATTTATAAAACGTCCAGCCACGTAATGACGTCATAATTCCCCATCAAGCTTTGCAAAACTAAACATAGCGAAGTCATCAACGCACGCCAATTTTATGAAACCCAAAAATCCTTACTAGTTTCATTTACCGTTCGTTTTTCGCGTCATTGCCCTTTGCTGCAAGTTGTTTTTGATCAGCCTCATCTGATCCCTCGTCACTCTTGTTGTTTGTCTGTTGTTGGCGTTCATCTCTACCAGGGTTGTCTTCGTCGGAAGAATACTCTTCCTGTTTTTCACGGGCGGGTTTGTCCTTTAAGTTAATTAAGAAGAAAAACTGTTATATCAATGCTCAAATCCGTTGCCTAAATCAGTCGAGTCTCTCCTAGCATTAATCTCTATAACATTAACATTAATCAAGCGTTCTTTTTTCCTTCTTCCCGCGTTCGCCAGAAGAGAAAGAACGCTTGATCGTTGGTTAAGAAAGTTCTTTCCATCTTGTGAGACATGGACACAGACACACACGCGGACACGGGCACAGACACAGACAAAGACATAGACATTGTTTATTTTACTTGGTCGCACACTTACATATGGTAATGGCAGAGGTGACAAGCAGAGTCTACAGGAAGCACCGACTAGTTTACACATCGCCAAGAAAACAAAACAACAAATTAAACTAAACTAAGACTACATAACTACTATAAAATATCTAAAAATGTATAACAATGTATAAGAAGAGAAGCCCTAACAGACCATCTCCGAGTTACCCTCGTTTTGACACACAGGCAGAAAAAACTCAGAAATGGCCATTAATTTAAATAGATTCTATCTCTCTGATACGTTGACACAGTTATCAGAGGTAGAATGAACTAGTTAAAGTTTTGAAAATTTAAGGTGGCTCTGAACCTTATGTACAGAATTTTTTTTAAAC